AGGTGTTCGTGGTTAAAGTGTTATCAAACTCCGAATATTTGTGGCATCTTCACATTTGTTTGGCTCAATAAAGTTCTGTCTTTTTAGATTATGTGTATGTTGAGGCTTATTGCCTCAAGAGTTGCTGTTATACGTACTGTTTCACTCGCTACGTATAGGATAGAAAAGCTATGTCATCTGTGAAGTCAAAATCGTTTAGCTGCATATTTGTTAGGGACGGCTCTCCGTGAATTCGAAGAAGCTCCGGAAGAGCCAAAGACATTCCACTCAGTCATTTGGAAGAACAGCTGGAATTTCTACGTGCAGCTTTCCAAATGAATAAATGTTGAGGACCGTTGCATGCGGACTGGAAGATTCCAATGATGATTTCGTTTTTGCTTAAAACTATAAGTACCCGGGTGTTTCATACCATATCCCACTGGTTGGAATAAGATATATTCCCACTAGTCTTCTGTCTTGAGACATGGAATGTTCAAGCGTCCAAGTGCTCAAGTTGTACAGAGTATAACAAAATTTTAAGCTCTAGATATACAGTATCAACCCGTGATATCTCGATCAACGGCATATAACTGGTTATTTAAACGGATTTTATGCTTGGTATCTAGTTCATACCGATTATATGTTTGTTAAGTATTGTAAGACTTTCACTCTATTCAGTTGTTAGGTCATCTTCAAGTTGACATACATCAATCAGTACTTATCCTAATAGTGCTCTTAGAACCCTCTTGTTCCAACCCGTCCTGATTTTGAAGTATGGACGTAATTCACACTTCGCAAATAAGGCGTGTAAATGACGAGTTCGTAATGTTTATCAGGTATACTTATTGGCGGCCTTTTCTACTATGCAATGCTGGCTAGACGAAAACAGAGATAAAAATACCAGGAGTGATATCACTTTTCGGAATCACTGGGTGCTGATTTTAGTTTGTTGGAAGACATGGACTATTTGCTTCAGAATCATGTAATAGTCATTAGCATTAAAAAACTGACATATGGAGATATTGCTCACAAATATTTCTAGTGAAGCGGATGGATTTATTCTCTTTTTTTCAAAAAATAAAGATTTGGTAATATCACATATTTCAAAACCTCATTGTGCTTAAATATTTTAATCACCATACTTCAAGTCTCTCGTCAATAGAATTCTGAAGTGTGAAGTTTGTAATTTTTTAATCAATACTCTTAAATCTCAAATGTTGTGGAAGGTAGCACCACTAGTTATTACTCCTAAATACCGGAAGGCCACAACAGCTTGGAATATTAAACAGAACAAATTTGGCTGAAGACATACGAAGTGTAAATCATCAACATTGATTATCTCTGTCGGGTGATTGGGGGCCTACTAAATTTAGACGGGAATGGCGTGACCAACAGCTAAGCTCGAAGTCATTCCTAGGGGTCAGCACATAACATGGATAACCCCTTCGTCGTATGAAGGTACTATGGATGCTTTGAAGGCGGTACAACAAAAAGGACGTTATTAAAGAGGTATATTATTTAAAGTAGGTACAATCGGAAGTTTGACCACCACTGCATTGGCTAATCTATGGCGCACGATTAACTGATGCGCGTTGGCTGTACGTGACTTTGACATGGATCGATGACGTGTTCGATACTAAATAACTCAACTTCCAGATGATTCAGTTAGGGTTCAGTGACATTTCACTGGCCCTAAAGAAATTTCGGCTGTTTTAACTTTATAACCGATGCTTGCAATAATAAAAGCCCAAATGCCCAGTTTCAGGGTGACTAGGACTCAGCAATGTCATTTCGTTAGGCATTATCATAAAATCTACTCAAACGGTCTTTATGTTGGCATAGAGCACCTAATTACACCAGATTCGTTGCGACGATATCACAGATAAATAATGCAGTACCGGGAGTTTAATATCACTCAAGTTTGAAAACTATAAAACCACATATTGTGTCCTTATGGCCTGTTGAAAAACCACGCGACTAAATCGCTGATCGAAATATGACTTAATGAACCTGACACAGTAACAAACTGATGACGCGTGAACTTGTAGGCGCAGTCCAAAATCAAACTCTGAATCCTGATTTGTCCTTCCGACTAGCCCTGCCTGTTGGAATCCAGAACACAACTTCTACTGCATGAATCATGTACTGCAGGTACAAACAGTTTATATCCGAGCAAATCAGACCGCATCATACTTTCAAATACAAAACAACACTTATACAAGATCAATGCAAAAAGCGGCTGTGATTTTAAGAGGCTGTAACTAACAGGTTGGAAATAACCTACGAATAGTAAGCCATATGCTAGCAGCCAGTAGGTCAAATGAAAACTTTAAATAAAAGGAATATGAACATATATATAACACAGTTACTTGGTAGTTATACAGTGATATATATATATATATATATATATATATATTTAGTGGCAATCCATAGATAAATCTTAGCAGTTATCATTCACTTATTCTTCCGGATATAACACTACGTTGACGTCAGATCTAATGAGAACATCATTTGACCTAAAGACATAGGTCTTGGATGGTTTCAACGCCAATGACACTTTTCTGCTCATTAGAATGAACCAGTTTCTACTAAGGGTTGATAAAAGTCAAATAACATCTGAGGAGTAATTACTTAACTAATAAAGGGAATTCAGCGAAGAGAACTTTTTCGACGAAATTATTTACTTAAGCAGTACATTCGTATTCATAGTTGTATGGTAAATATGTCCACAAAAGAATATAATCGATACGATTCAAGGTGAGAAAATAAGTCAAGAATACCAGAATTGTAACGGAATATTTCATTACAAACACATATATTATATGATTTGTCAGATGAACGTTTCAAATTCAAAGATTATATTGATACTATTGTAATTAATGAAAAGTTCAAAACCGACGGAGACTCAAGCTCCTTTTACAGAAAATTATATTTCAAATTACTCTGACGTATCATTATCTACTATTCAGCTAAAACCATTATCTCTTGATCCTAAATTTTGTAATATGTCAACTAGCATTAATGAACTATGATAATTAGGAGTATTTGAATTATAGTAGGAACTAAGAGTAACAGATATTACGCAATTGAATCAAGGAGTACTAGACAAGCACTAACGAATGTACTGTATTTAGAATTCGACATTCAACAAGTACAAAGGAATCATTAGTTCATTCAAACACCACATGAACTCAACGCTAAAATCCAGTTTGGAAGCCTTGTTCGTCAGACAAGTGACCTTATCCCAGTAACTAATAGAGATTATGGTCATTTCAAAACAAATCTGGTTGACTGTTGTAATCAATATGTAAACACAATACCTACAACTAGTTCATTACTAACAAAAGTACATAAATCTCAATTATTTGATCTTTGCAAAAATCAGGATATAGTTTTGTGTAGTACGGACGACGGTGCAAGGATTTCCCTTATAGATCGTCATAACTATGTCACCAAACTATTCTTGATATTATCTGACCTTGTCAAATTCTCCAAAGAAGCCATTCAGAAAGATGCAACTGAGAAAACGGGACAGATGCCAATTAAAATCCTGAGGAAGATGAAAGATGATTTTATTATCAATTGTGACCACTATGAACAACTTAAACCATCGGGGTCCGTTATAAAGAGACTATACGAACTTGCAAAGGTTCACGAGAATGTCTCCCTACGTTCTATACTTGATATGAATAACCTTTCGTAACATTTAATTGTTAATTGGTTAGCTGATATTTTACAACCCGTCAGAAATCGCATCAATAGATACACTTCTGTTGATTATTTCACTCTGTCGACTCAATTAGAAATATAAATGTAAATGGCAGAAGAATGATCTCATTGGATGTTACTTCTCGCTTTATAAATGTTCCACCCACAGAAACTATGTTTTTTTATGTAAATATATTGAAAATATTAACCTTGATATTTGTATCCCAAAACATTATAAAAAAGAACCACTTCTAGGATGTACTCAACATGCAATTCAGATTTATTGATTTCTATAGACAAACAGATGAAGTTGTAATGGGTTCACCATTGTGTTACCTCTTGATTGTTGCATGACCAATCTGGAAAATACGGTACTTTGACCAATAATTGAGAGATTTCATTTACATAAAAAATATATGGATGATACTTATTTGCGAACATACGGATCTCAATCAAATTCTGAATCATTTCAATAATTGTCATCACTCACTTCAGTTCACGTTGGAGACAGAGAAGAATGGGGAATTTCATTTTCTTGATGTCCGGCTGAAAAGAATATCGGATGGTTCTTTACAGAGATCTGCATTATGGAAAAACGACTTCTAATGGACAGAATACTAACTTAATATCTGGTTCCCAATGAGTAGAAAGAGAAACTTAATTCACCCTTTATCCTCAATGATTAAGACAATATGTTCTAATGACACAATAGATGACAAACTACTTCAACTACGACAGATACTCATCAGAAATGGTGATCCACCTAGATTCGTCGATGGGAACTTAACACCAAGACAACATCTAGAAAAAGTACCAACAGTTCAGAAGAGAACTAATTATGCATATCGAATTTAAAAGATACAGCTGCTGAAATCCTGAATAAACGGATTTCAAAATCCCTGAATAAAACCTTCTACTCAGTTAAGCTCCTCACTGTCTTCTAAAAACGGGCCACTATTCACGAATGTGCTGAGGATAAAATTTTACTTGAGGCGACATCAATTTGCATCTATATATTTTTTGCTCCTGTGGGACAAGTTACATAGATCGCACAAAGCAACCGTCCTCTAGACGTCCCCAAATGCCCTGGTACAGCTGAGAGTGGGGAGCCAGCATTTTCTCTTGAAATACTTCCATATGGCCACGCGCATATAGCCTCTGCCAGGGAAGTCCTACTCACGGCCTTCTCGTGGTGGGGTGTTGTTTACGAAATTGGAAGAACGGAAAGCGAATGTCCGGTGCTTTAACCGGGTTGGTAGATATGTAGGATCCATCTAGGGAAGTTGGAAAACCCTGATTCCAAACCAATGGTGCACATGGGCTCCAGTATCCTGAAGAAACAAATGGCGTATGAACCAATTGTTGGTCACCGGCTACCATAGGACTGCAACTCCCGACGCTGCCCCACTGCCTTGTGGACCAGACTTCTAGGTCGAAGGCTCCGGGTGTGGCCACCTAAGAAAACCACCTGCTACGGTCTGGGCACCCGTGCAGTATCGCAGCCCATACACAAGTCAAGCGACTTGTGTGTATTCGGTTCCCTATTGTACCGATATTTATATGTTCAAATAAATAAATATAATCTCAGAACACTACCCAGAATGGCTTTGAAAAGGAGAATGCAAAACAGTTACAAGCTCAATACAGGAGCATCTGATTAACTCTGGAAATGTTGCTCCGAAGGAGTCTTCTTTTAAAATAATCTACACAATCAGAAACTTATGCACTGCCGATCCACCAATTCAAGCCAGAACTCTGCATGCAAAAGCGATACGTCCAATCTCTTATTCTTTATTGGCCCTAATTCCCTTCTGCAGCAAATTTTCGTTAGTTTTCTTTTAAATTGATGTTTTGTAATTTCAAACCGTAATAAGTTATCATCATCCCTCAATAATTTTTAATGATTATTGCACAGTTATTATTATGACTTTTATGTTTACCTTTCATCTTTCTATTGTTATCTAACTCCCTGATTATTACGTAACCTTATCTGATAATTAGAATCTCAGACCACTTTATGATGCAATCTATCCTTCTATAGACATCTCATATTCCTACGAACCAAAGAATTATATTTTTGTTCAATAGTGTCAGCAAATCAATGAAATACACAGGAGTACTTTACTAAAACGAAAACTAACAGAACTATTTTACTGAAGACAAATAGAATAGCCATTGATTATTTGAGATTAAAATCGAATTTTTAAACAATATAAACAAAAGTATATGGATACTGCCTTATTAACCTATTCGAGTATCTAATGAATTCATGGTAGGAACAATATCTAACAATGAAAGTATACAATGGAATATATCCTAGGCAAAGTATTGTAAGTATTCTTATTATTCATGATAATTTGTTTCTGGTAGAGCTAATCCAACCATTTTCGCAGCTTCTTCAGTTGTTTTCTCTTTGGATTTATACAATTCCACGAGCTCCTGAGAAATAAAAAAAGGATAGTAACAAGAATGTAGTACAAAGTTAGGTACTTTGTTTTCATAATATATTAATTAACATGGAAAAGATACTTATGTTGTTTTCATTACTGAATTGAATAAGTTGAGTTTTAAATTATTATTACTAATATAGAAATTATTAATTACCGTTCCAAAATAAGATGACAAAAGATGCCTTGCACATAGAACATGAAATCTACTTTCAACTTGACTATGAGTGACTAAAAAAACTAACCCAGATTGTATAATGTCACATAAGTATATAACCAAACTAGATATTTTCTATATTACCTTAGTGAATTTCAAGTGATTTAATTAAACGATTATTCACAAAAATTTATAAGTAAATACGGAGCGTCTTTAAAAAAAAGGAATGAAATATCCTACAGTTAAGAAAAAAATTATCTTCTTAGAACTTGGCTTAAAGGTGATGAAATAGTTGGAAGAATTGATTTTAGACTAAAGGCAATACTAAAAGGAACTTATCCAGCGACAAAGTTGGTGTCCCTATATCAAACTAAATGCTCCTTGAGACAATTAAATGTAGACATATAGCCGGCTTATGTTACTTCTAATTGTATTTACCAGTTTACATGTATGTGCTTCAGCACATGTGTGCTGAAGCACATACATCAGAAGAACAGAATGGAGGGTTTATGTCCGTATATCTGATCATATTCCTCAAAAGTTGAGACTAACGAGACAGGTTTTCTATAGTGTGGTTGCTCATCATTTACTTGATAGTGGGTATGTTGTTGAAATCGTAAAATCATTCAAAATAATCAACAATTAAAGGGATTCCAGACAGTTATGTTTTGCCGAAGCTGTTGCAATAAAGAGATTTGAACCGAATTTACAAATCCAAAAGGAAACAGTTATAAATCTTGTTTTATTCTGGTGACTTTATTTTGTGTGAGATTATTAAGTAAGGCTTTATTTTCATTTTCTTCATAAACTCCAATCAAAATTCTAGTATCCTTATTCTTGCTTTTGAGCTTTACTCAACTAGTTCATATTACATAATCTATCTTCTGATTCATTTTATTTATTCATTTGAACACGTAGATATTCGTACAAGGAGGCACCAAGTACATATGCACCACACAAATCTCATTTGAATTGTGCGAGGGCTGTGATACTGCACGGGTGCCCAGACCGTAGCAGGTGGTTTTCTTAGGAGGCCACACCCGGAGCCTTCGACCTAAAAGTCTGGTCCACAAGGCAGTGGAGCAGCGTCGGGAGTTGCAGTCCTATGGTAACCGGTGACCAACAATTGGTTCATACGCCATTTGTTCCCGCAGGATACTGGAGCCTATGTGCACCGTTGGTTTGGAATCAGGGTTTTCCAACTTCCCTAGATGGATCCTACATATCTACCAACCCGGTTAAAGCACCGGACATTCGCTTTCCGTTCTTCCAATTTCGTAAACAACACCCCACCACGAGAAGGCCGTGAGTAGGACTTCCCTGGCAGAGGCTATATGCGCGTGGCCATATGGAAGTATTTCAAGAGAAAATGCTGGCTCCCCACTCTCAGCTGTACCAGGGCATTTGGGGACATCTTCTGATTCAAGAAGAAAATATATTGTCTTGTTTCTATACTCTTCTAGAATATTTAAATATTCGATCCATAAATAAGCCAACGTTTGAATAATTTTAACTCTCAAGATTATTCTACCTTCATATTTTAACTCAGTTTATTCTAAACACTTCTGATGTAAAATGTGTACAAATTGTTTTAATGATTATTACTATAGCTTAAGATTGTAAGCAACTGAGGAGAATCCACGTTACTCTATTAATATATTTGTTCTTTCTTTATTCAAGTTGTAAATGGGAAAGGTTGGATGAAATAAAATGCATTTATTTTATTCTGTAAGTATTATTCATTCCGTTTTATTTAAGTTTATCAAGAGATCAGAATATGAGAAAATTCTTTTCTTTTTTTACAAAACTATTATTCGCTTACTAGATTGTATTCGACTGAGATCATGAATCGATTGACGTTAGGCCACCGTTGGAAAGCTGGAGTCACTGGACGGCCGTTCCGTCCTATTGTGGTATTCCTCAGCAGTGCTCATCCACGATCCTACTGGCGGAATTGGAACCCAGGGCCGTCAGACCCATGCGCGAACGCTTAACCTACTGTACCACTGAGCCGGCATCCGTGGGTTGGTTGATGTTTGACACTAGCACCATTGGATGCCGGCTCAGTGGTCCAGTAGGTTAAGCGTTCGCGCATGGGACTGACGGCCCTGGGTTCGAATTCCGCGAGCGGGATCGTGGATGAGCACTGTTGAGTCCCATAATAGGACGGAACGGCCGTCCAGTGCCTCTAGCTTTCCAACGGTGGTCTAACATCAATCGGTTTATGATCTCAAACAAAAACTTAATAATCTTCACAACCCCTATATTGTATATATATATATATATATATATATATATATATATATATATTTGTATTCGTTTAAGATGAAAGTAAATTTATAGTAAAACGTATACAAATAGAGAAATAAATTATTAATGACATAATTAAAAATAGTTACTTACTGAATGTTTTCGTAAATTCTGCAAATAATTTAAATATGTTTCAGCTAGATGAACACTTTCATTTTCTCTAGCACATTTTTGAGCATCGGTTAAATGATTGTTTCTAAATTCAGAAATAACGTATTGCATTACTGGTGAATAGTCAAAAGGCTAAATGAAAATGAATAATTTGTCAATAAAAGATTTCTAAACAAAAATTACTAACCGCTTTTTGATTCTTTCGAACATGTCGAAGTTCACGGAGAATATTTCGAAATAGCTGGATCTTCGATGACATTGTGGACTATTCGATGATGAATCTATCTATAGTTAGTGGTAGGATAAGTATCTCATGATGAAAAAATGTAACGAATTATTTTAAGACAAAATAGTTTCCCATTTTAGAGATTTGACTAATTAGTGTAAAGCCGTTTCATTACGAAACATTATTTTTTTAAGACCAATAAACGTCAGATTTAATAAGAACCACTTTGTAATTCCACTACTATTTATAGATATTCATGCTGAAGTCCTAGTGAAAATTATTTCATATTTCTTTGTTTCAGAATAAAAGGATCATACAGATCATCACATAGGAATCAAGGGACTTTTTAAATCTATGTCAAAAATGATATAGTCAGTTATAAAGAATATACAATCTTACAAGAATCTGTATCAGCTATTGTTAATACGATCCACATAAATACAACAATTTACACGTGAACGAGACGAAGTTTTGTCCCAAGTATTTTAATGGTCACTTATACTGAAACTGACTCCTCTACATGTACTGACAATTATTATTTATGAGTATGACAAATGTTTCGCATCTTCGAAATGCACAATATTTCCATAAGAATGACAGGAGCCTATCTATATTCATCTTTTTGATGTCATTGGAAATAATCGAAAATTTTACGTATCTGGGTATTTGTATGACTGCTCGTAGTAGTGTAGTAAATAAAACTGATGTAAGTATGATGAAAGCCAGTAAGAGTTACGCTAATCTAATCGTACTGCCCGTCTCTCAGCGAAAATCGGGCTTACAATTAGTTAGTGAAAGCAGTTCTGCTATGTACTCGAGGAACATAGCCTCTTAGTAATCTCACTATATTGAAACATCGGCATTGGCGGCTTGATAATGGCTTTACGAATGCCATTCCAGCAGCTCCCATATCGTGTATATAAACAGACGTTGGGTCTGGGTGAAAGGAGCAATGTGGTTAGTTTATGAAGTCGTGCTATAACATGAAACAGATGTAAAAAATAACATATATCAACCCATTAAGACTTTCTAATTAGGGTCCTCAGTGACCTGAGATGATATCAGATAGGGTTCATAATAGAAACCCGTAATGACTGCTATAGTTCTCCATCACAATCTTCATAACAGTGAGATGAACTACTTTAACTGGAATCAGTCAGTCAGTAACAACGTAGAACTTCGTACATACGTACATCACTTCGAGTTGCCATACCACGTTAGAACAGAGATGCATTTGTCGATTCAAATCCCGTAGTGGTAGAGGTGGTAAGAGTACATGCAGTAATCGGAAACAGGGTTTGAAGACGTTATTTAGGGAATATAATACAGTAAAATAAGTTTGAAAAGTGAAAAAAGGGATATAAAGAATTCAGAAGATTAGAATTTTGGAGAACACAAAGAGTGGATGCACCTGCACCACTGCAAACGATTTTGACCCATGGCACTCAAGGTCTCTAACTATCGGTTGCTATCATCTAGCGGATCCCAAACAGGTAGTCTACATCTACCATCATGGCTCAGTCCACTTGTCAGTGACTTCATGGATTTGTGTCATGTTTTGGTCTGACCGCCCCTAGTTTTCTTCCAGCCTACTCCTACACCATAAAACATTGCACGTCGGTGGTTAAGCATATGTAACACGTGTCCCAGCCATCTCAACTGATGAATTTTCACTACTTCATTAATTGATTTGCCATCCCTACCTAGCACCCGTTTCCTAACAACTATATTACTTACTCGGTGGTCCCAGGATATACGAGCAATGTTTCGAAGACACCTATCATTGAATACGAGTAACCTACGAATATCCTCTACTCTAACCGGCCATGTTTCACTGTCATAAAGTAGGACGGAACGAACTCATCCTTTGGTTGGCAGATGGATATCTCGCCCACGCCATAAATGACGGAAGTTGGCAAAAGCTAGTCGAGCCTTTTGTATCTGTGCTGAGATTTGTCACACACCAGACCACAAGGGCTGATGAGACTCCCAAGATAAGTGAAGCGGTCGACATGCTCAACTACTTCACTCCCTATCATTAGTTCGGGTGTCGATGGAACCCAATCCTGAAGTAACATTTCGCATTTCGAGGGGGGAGAACCGCATGCCGAACGTGCTTGCATTGTTGCTTAGAGTGGTCAGCAGACTCTGCATTTTGTCAGTGTCTTCACTAAATAGAACTATGTCATCGGCATATTCTAAGTCAAGAAATGCATCTCCTGGTAGAAGGTCAATCCCTGGAAATTTAGATGAGGAAAGTGTTATCTCTAAAAGCACGTCTACAATGAAGTTAAACAAGAATGGAGAGATTGGACAGTCCTGACGAACACCACTTGAGGTAATCAGTTCTGATGACAGTTTGCCATAAGCTATCACTCGATCTGTTGTGTTCGGGTAGAAAGTCTTTATAATGCTAATATACTTCTTTGGTACTCCTTTCAGTGACAAACACTGCCATAGAACCTCACGATCAACAGAGTCAAATGCCGCCTTAAGGTCGAGAAATACTACCATTACGGGGCGTCTGAATGTGTGTCTAGGATCTGACGTAGTGTGAATATCTGGTCTATACAACCACGTCCAGGTCGAAAACCAGCCTGGTTTTCTCTAGTCTGCTCTTCACGAGCTTTGGTTAGGCGTCGAAGTAATATTGAAGCTAATATTTTAGACACTATATTAGTCAAACTGATTCCTCTGTGATTGTCACAAGAAGACTTTTGTCCTTTCGTATAGACTGGCACAATCAGTGATTGAGACCAGTCAGATGGCATTACGTCAAGTCCCCAGATTCTACCTAAGATCTCAGTCAATCTCGTTGCTAATACTGGACTGCCATCCTTAAAAATCTCAGGGGTAAACCTGTCAGTGCCTGCTGCTTTCCCACGCCTCAGATTTCCTATAGCTTTTTCAACTTCGTAAAGAGTCGGAGGACTTACATTAATTTACCATTCAGGTAGATTGGAGATCGTGGGAAACCAAAGAGTGGCTGAAGGCCAGTTGAACTGATCCCTAAAGTGTTCTGCCCATCAATCCAATCTCCTGGATTGAGAATGAATAATATGTCCATCTTTCTCTGAGATTGCTTCGCTAACAGTTGGGTTACTAATACCGGTTTCCTTAACAAGTCTGAACAGTTGTCTGCTGTTACCTATTGCTGCTGCCTTTTCTATCTCTCTTGCTTTTGCTACCCACCACTGTTCACGATCTTTGCGTAGGCTTCTAGTCAGCTTACGCTTAAGCTGACTCCGCTCTTCTTTATGTTCAGAGCCAGATGGAGCGATTCTTCAAGCATCTACCACTGCGGTCGATGCTGCTGAGATGCAGTGTTTCTCCCTAGCCTTATGGTTTACCGTACTAGCAGATATCACTGCTGTTTTAACAGCTTTTCGGATGTCATTCCACGCTGTCACGGGGTGGGCATCACATACATGGTTGCTTGACTGTTTTTCTAATTGTTCCTGAAATATATTCTTAGTTTGACTATCATTAAGTAGGACCATACGAGGTTCCCTTGCAGCGTCTTTTCTACATCTAGTGAGACGAAGACAAATACGCGCTCGCACTAGAGCATGATCTGAGTCTAGGCATGTGCTCCAGAATGAGTGAGTCTTCTATCAAGCCCCTCCATCTGTGGCTGGTAGCGATGTGACCTATTTTGGTCCAACGTTGGGACGAATCCGGGGGTCGCCATGTCAAAAGGTGTTTTTCCTTATACTTAAAGCTAATGTTTGCAAGAAACAGGCGGTTATCCGAGCATAGCTATAACAGACAGTCGCTATTACCTGTTCTTTGAGCCACGACACCATAAGATCCACCCAGGTGTCTTTCCCTGTCGCTAAGTTTACCTACTTGAGCATTCAAGTCACCAGTCACTATTACTACATCAGAGCGCCTAGCCTTTCGGAGAAGGTCGGAAAGCTTTCTGTAAAACTCATCTTTTGCACCATCTGAGCTGCAGTCAGTGGGAGAGTAGGCAAAGACGACGAAGAGGAATAGTTTTCCGTTGTACCTTTGAGCGAACTATATCTCTTATTAAATATTAGTCGTACTCATTAATTTATTCACAGTAGAAACCTCTCCTTTATTTCCTTACAATGTTATCCTTCCACATGTGTGGAGCCTTTTTAAGTGTCCGATTACACTACGATTTGTGTTTTTTTAAAAAGACAAACATTGTATGATGTCGAAAAGAACGCTATTAAGGAGTGATAGTATATGTTACCTTGGCAGGACGGTCGTGCTTGCCCATTGTGAAGACACAATCGAATTATGTTGGCTATAACATTCGTTTTCTCAGGTCTTTTTATCCCAAGGAGATTGGTTCGAGGAAGGTAAGACTAAAAGCAGAAGCCTAAGATCCGAGGATGATTAGTACTGCTGACGGCGGAGGGGCTTACAGCAGTAAGGCGTGTCCTTAAGACAACCAGAATCTGTAGCGATACTTCCGTCTTACAACGAGAGGAAAGGTTCAAAGAAGCTTAACCCCAAGAATATCACGCTTCACCTTACCTTATGGACCATCGTCTCCGGCTGTAAGGACTTTTCAAGTACCGAGCTAACCTATCGAAAAAATTTTCAAAAAGGCCTTGTATGACCAACCTCAAGCAGTTGTTCATAGGGTTCTGAAGTCACGCTTCTAGATCTAACCTCACTATTACTTACCCGGTGATCTCAGCAGATAAAAGTAATATTTCTAAGACATCTGTGACCAAATACTAGTAGCTTACGAGTATCTTCTACCCTTAGTGGCCATGTTTCGTAGCCGTAAAGTAGGACAGAATGAACTGCCGCACAGTATACTTGCCCCTTAAATGATAGACGGATATCTGGCCTTCGTCACAGATGATGTGAGTTGGTAAAAGCCAAATGAGCCCTCCGAACCCGCGAAGTTTCGTCAAGTAAAAACCCATGAGGGATAATCAGACTTCCAAGATGTGTTGTCGATGCGTTCGACTAATTCCTAGTTTTCCACATCCTGAAAGGATCCTTCTAGAGGTAACTGAAAAGGAAATTGGGTTAGAGGTGGTCTTAGTGACCTGAGAGCGTGACCACAGTACGCAAGGAACAACTGCCTGAGGTTGGTCACACACGACGTTTTTGTGGGTAATTTTCGTGTTAGCTCCGTACTTGTTGAGACCTTACCGCCGGAGACGGATAACCGTGGGATAAGGTGAGATGTGTAATTTTAGGGTTGACCTTTTCTAACCCCAACTCTCCTTGGGTGTCATCAAATAACTGATTACTTTAAGGTTAGATTTATCCCACAAGATGTTTAGAGATATGACTAAGACTGTTATTACTGATACTGACAAATCCATTTTCGAATGTGCTAAAAGTATTGCTTTAGAAATCAACGACAATGTTGTGTATTGGATATTTCAGTCCAGAAAACAGAGCACAGACTGTTTCTTGTTTATTAATAATGCTTAATCCTGAAGAATATGTGATCCCACCTCTTTATTTAAACTTTTGACACCTAACAACGGTAATCCACCCATTATTTTGTTCTGACTTACATAGCACTATTACTGAAGCTGTTGTGAGATATAGATAACAATATACTTGGATATCAATGGTGTTGAGGTGCAGAACATCCAGTTCACAAAACTCATTCATCAAAGCACATTGTCGACGATATCAATCTACGTGATACTTTGGGTTCATACACCACCTTTCCTTCGGAGTCGTACATGAGAGATAAAAAGGACAGTTCACTGCGGATACGTTGCAGCCAAACAAGATTTTAAGCGTTATACTGGAAAACATCATTCCTCATTCGGCTGACAGAAATCCTATTGTTAATACAGAAAATTTAGCTCACTACGAATCTAAGAAACAGTTTATCACTTGAAAGAACATTAGGTTCACGTTGTGGATAAATCAAATCTCGTTCTTACGTTAACCCCATAGATTTTTGCATTCAGAAATTCATTTCTAGTGACATAGGTGTTCATTAGTTAGTCGTGAGCGAACTTGGCTAACTATTAGTGATATATCATATTAAATGTCATTGATAAGTTGAGAAATTAATATTTCAACATCGTTTAGGATTATTAAAACCAAGTAATTGACGCATTTGTCAGTTTAAAATTGCGCAAGATGCACTATTGAGTCACAAATAAATGGAAAGTGTTTAAAAAAATACGATTCTGTAGGCATAAACAAAGTTAACACCTACTAGGAATATCTGCCAATACAATCGACGCATAAACCAAGCAGTACGCTTGTCCTTCAATGTCTAATATCTGTGAGTCATATTCAGTTAGAGTTTGCAAAGGACAGGGGGCTTGGTGACCTGTGTTAGTCCTGGAAATGCTGGTCTCTCAGTTGATCCAACTTTTTTTGAAAGAGTCGACGGATGCAGTCTCAACCGCGTGCTGAGTTAATGAATTCCACTCGTTGACGATTTGATGGGAAAGTCGACTTTCGATCGATAGTCAGCTGACAAGTAATTTGTTCTGGGCTTGTGAAATCCTTTGGAGTGCCCTTGTAAATTCTCTGTTTTGGAAGACAAGAAAGATGAGGGCATATAAGGTGCGATTTTATCACTAAGCATTTTGAATACTGTAATGAAGTCTCATCTAGTTCTACGATATGACAAAGGGAATAGGTTTAACTTGGCCAGTCTAACATCATACGGAATCTTCGCTGTTCCGGGGATCAGCTTAGTTGCTGTCCTCTGGACCTTTTCCAAAAGCTCACTGTCTTTTTTTAAGCAGGGGCTAGCCGCTTGTTTGAGCGTCGACATGAGTAAAAGCCCTACGTATTGACCATAAAGTTCTAAAACCTTTGGCGGCTATTGCACGACAGTGTGCAGTAGTCTTCAGATCTTGGCTAACGATGACTCCTAAGTCATTATGTGTCTGGACAACAGGTAGTTCAGTGTTAATCATCGTGTATGTATCTGAACCTTGATGACCGATATGCATCACAACACACTTGGAAGTATTTATCGGCAGCTGTCATGTATGAGACCATTCGGATAATTTCTTCAGGTCATTTTGGAGTTCTAAGCTATCACCTTTACATCGTATCGTTCTCCACATCTTGACATCGTCAGCATGTAGCAAGACCGATGATGATAGTAAGCGAGGAAGATCATTTACATACAAGAGGAATAGCACTGGCCCCAAAACTGTACCCTGGGGAACTCCACTAAGCACAGTTTCCCAGCTAGATAGCTTTGAGTTCACCCGCACTCTTTGTTGGCACCCAACTAAGAAGTCTTCTATCCACATCAATAGATTGCCTCCAATTCCGACATTTCTTAGCTTATATAACAGTCGGTTGTGCGGAACTTCGTCAAAAGCTTTGCTGAAATCAATATAGGCTACGTCTACAGGTAACTTTCGGTTCTTAAGAGCGCACCAGTTTTCAAGAGCGACTAATAAGTTGATGAGACGAGAATAATCTATTCTGAAACCGTTCTGCTTCTCCGAAGGGATCCGTTTTACATCGAGGTAATTAAACAGCTCCTTCCAAATAATCCTTTCTAAGATTATAGCAACTACACTAGTTAGGCTAACGGGTCAGTAATTCTGAGGTTTATGTTTCGTACCTGTTTTGAAGACAGAACTTACTATGGCGTTCTTCCAGTCTTTTGGTAAACGACCCTGCGTAACGGATGGCTTAAAGCATATACTTAAAGGGTTCGCACCGAAGTTAGATAATTCCTTTAGTAGCCTAGGATGCAATTTATCGAGCCCCGTGGATTTACCTATGTCAAGCTTATTTAGCAGATCAAAGACATCGAGTTCTTTAATGGTCAGGCTATCCAGTGTATGTGTGTGTGGGGGGTTCGTATGCGCTGACAGGAAGGGTGCTTCTATGGTATATACATTGCTAAAGTAGTTTGAGAACACTTCAGCCTTATCAAAGTCATCTTCCACTAATGATGCGACAGTACTGTCTCCCCATAGTGCAGGGATAATTCCTCTTCTTTTTGTCCTTTGGTTTATATAGGAATACAAGCGTTTAAGACATTCTATGGATTCCTTAACAATTTTTTCTTCGTACAACTTTCTAGACCTAAGGAGGGTCGAGACACAGGTATTTTTAGCTTTTCGATAGTGAGATTTTGTCTCATCAGTCCACAGTAACCTAAATCTATCTCACATATTCCTTCTCTTGCGGAGAAGGATGCGGACTTCCCTACTGAACCATGGTGGGGAGTTTCTCAACCCCCTTGGTATAGCCTGAGGAATGGGCGGTGCGGTAACTTTTAAGTATAAATTTCGGAATGCGTCTCAAGCCGTTTCAATTGAGGACTATGGGTCTATTGTCCAATCTACTAATGATGCCGAGTGCATGATATCTGGTATGTTTGCTTTCCAGACGTTAGGTCTGGATTGAGTTGACGGGTGCTCGTGATTGACAGCTATTTTGAAGTCAAAAACTAAAACTGCATGATCACTTTTGCCTAGGAGTGGCATGTAAAGGAGGTTCGCGACGTCATCCTCACAGTGAGTTAATATAAGATCTAGTAAGGATGATTCAGTGTCAGGGTCGTACCTAGACGCTTCTTTCACATGTTGCACTAGGGCACATGTTATAACCGCATCAACTAGTTCCTGCTCGAAGGAATTATCTGATGATTAAGTTCGCAGATTTCCCCAGTCTACCATAGGTGCGTTAAAGTCCCCTAGGATTAGACATCGACCGCTTTGCGACCAATTTTTGAGCCTGTTTAACAGCACATCATTTACCTCACAGCTTGGACTGAGATTGACCAAACCAATCGGCAGCTCTTGTCTCTTGCATTTCAAGCGGCAACTAACCAATTCACACGTCCCACTATCATGAGATACACTATCAATAATGACAAATGAGGTAGCATTCCTAATGAATAGAGCTACTCCCACTCCTTTACGCTTATGTATTCTGTCGGTCCTTACTAAAGTAAAACCCTCAAAATCGAGTTCCATATTATCTATAGACTGTGTCAGCCAGACTTCTGTGACTGCGATTATGTCTGGCTTTGTCGAGTCAATCTGTTCACCTAGTTCCGATAGCTTATTGAGCAAGCTTCGGGCTTTAGTGTAACAGATCCGTAGACCATTTAAGTGGCTTTGTGTTTCACCCAGAGTGGATTCGGCATCATTCTCTGTCGAAGCCTCACAACCCGAAAATTGTAAATTTTCGGGTCCTTTTCGCCAGCGTCTAACCTCATTTGTAGTTCTTTTTCGGCTTCCTGTCTTTTACACGGTCTGCCAACGGCAAGTCCTTACGGATAAAAACTCCCGAACCCTTTAATTTATGTCCATTCTGCAAAATTAAGTCCCTTTCATTCGAAGATTAGAAAACTGCTTTAAGCAGTCTAGATTGATTAGGCTTCCAGTTCGCCAGACTACCTAGTCTATACACCTTTGGCAAGGTGACTCCGTAGATATTTTGAGGCATGAGTTGATTAAGTAGTTGTTTTATCAGGACAATGTCATGCTCAAAACGAGTTTTTGGTTCGGAGCTTTCGCTCTCCTTGATCCTATGAAAAATGACTGATGTGTTACTGTGATCAGCCTTCAATTTCTCGACTACTTTTATAGGGGCAGGGTTCCCTATTTTGTTTCTTCTTTACAACATGTACCCATTCGTCAACGTTGCTTGGAGAAGCAACCACAGTCGCGTCAAACATACTGTGGGATTCCGTAGGGTTTTTGATGACTTGAGAGGTCAGGTTTGGTGTCCCTTTAGAAACAAATCAAGCCTTGCGACTGCGGCTTCTGTGTGTTTCCTTCTGGATACCGTTTAGAAGACGTGGGACAGAAGAAACTTCTTTTCTTGAGTTTTTTGTGAGGACAGAACTCTTTGAGAACTGTTCTCCCTCCTTTGGTCGGTGCGAGTCATCTGTTTTCGAACTCACTTTAGTTTGCCTCACTCCAATTTGCGTGTCAACGGAGCGAGTACTTGGTGATGTGTCCCTACCGCGCTTTCCAAGACATTTTTTTGCAACATTTACCAGTGAAATGGCCTGGGTTAGTAAGCTGTTAGCAACCGAACAACACTGTTGACAAAACCATACGCAACCATTTTTACTGAACCGTTTGAAAGCCACAGGCGTTAGGTTCGTGCAAACTTCGTGGTACCATCCTTTGAACTCATCGCAATGCATGTCGCTGTCAACAGGATAACGACAGTCTGGACGTTGGCAATTGCTTTTTCGCACTGTTCAGTCATTTAAGTACGGGTGTTTTTTCAAAAAAATAATTTGATGCAAAAATACTCAGAGACAAAAATGACCTATGACCAAAAAGAGTGGAAAACTGTAGATTGTTAGAACCAAAAGTACTAACAGATACAATAGAAAAACAGAGTACTCAAAAGTACCGACGACAAACTACTTTAGAAACAAAAGCAATACTCTAATTGACTACTTTTACTGAAATAAATTCAATTATAGTGTAAACTGTAGTCTTGGAATGTAATAAATGATCAATACAATAGAGGAAAAATACCACTGTACTTTTAATTAGCGCGCGCACATATGTGAAGAAAACTTGCTTGGCTCCTTGCAAATTATTTTAAATATCTAATCTCTTTGTGGAAATCACTCTTAGCTCAGCATCGCTTCGGTAGGTTTGAACCATATTAATCCAGGAGAGGTGTCTCGTGCTGTTTGGGAATCAGCTATATGTGCCTGCGTTCTAGAGTCGATGTTCACTTCAGGACTCGAAAATGGTATTCTTTACTTAATGTGTCATTGCCTTATCCACCTAGCTTTTGAGTTCATATAGCCACATATGTATATACATATGCCAAAACAAACGGATAAATTGTATACTTAAACATCAATGGAAAGATTCATACTATCGATATATATGAATTAAAGTTAGTATATCACTTTTAAAAATAAGTTTGTATTTGATCTTTAAAAGTTTTCAGGACTCCTTTAGTTGTTTCGTTCTTCTTTTATAAAGAACTAAAACTCACTGAAGGTCAACGTAAAATTGTAGCGTGGTGTCGAGTCGCGCTTGAATATGAACACCATTACAAGAAGACTACGTGCCAGTTAGCCAATAAGATCCCCATAGGCAAATATCAGAAAGCAGATGATGGCTGTAGTCGAGATGTATTTGTTGGTGATCTCGTGGTATCGAAAAAGTACCGAGATCGTGCCAAAGGAGTACAAGCGTAAGTGCTAAGCGTAATCGGATTCGTACAAGTTCCAAGTCAACGGAAGAGCAAGCGTAATGGCTGTCATTAGCATAGTTAAACAAACGAGCACAGTAAAACAATCACTGATAAAATTGGTTATAATAATGATTGTTTTCATTGAACCAATCGCGTTCTGTTGACAAAAGTAGGTCACTACAAGATCATT